GGGGTTCTCAAGGTCCTCCCATTTGATGGCGTGACTTGTAGTAGACTTCCTGGGACTGTGGTCCACCTGGGAGACGTGCTGCGCTAGAACACAATGCCCACTGACAAGTGCTGAGAGCGCTGATGGGGTCCTGCTTTACGACCCTCACACTGAGGCCAACTACAGGGCTCTTCTGTTCTGCAGTTCAATTTTCAGAAATACCTTAACTTTCAAGGAATGAAAGAGATGTTCAGATATAATGAAGATATTTGTAATATATATTGAAAGAAATAGCTGCTTAATTCTAAAATCAATTTTTAAAAACCCAGCGTATTTGTTAATTAAGCCTTGACATTGACCATGTTCTCTGCCATATTTTGTGTGTTGTTCTTAACTTACCTCTATCATTATGTCTGTTTGGAGTGAAAAAGTAGAGGTGATTTTTCTACTTACACAATTGCCCTTTGAGCTCCCATTTTAATAGCTGAGCAGTAGTGCCTTAGAGTGGCGGCAGAGCTGGAGGCCCCGGCGCTGTCCTTCCTCCTGGCACTGCTCTCAGCTTTCACGTTTGCCGGTTACTGTTGGGAGGATCCTGCGGGATCAGAGATACAAGGACGCGCTAGGGGTGATTCAGACTTCAAGGGCTTATGGTCTAGTTGAGGAAAGAGGGCATAAACACAGGATTACAACCAAGGAAACAGGCCAGATTTGATTTGAGAAAATGGAGACTCCAGGCAGAAGAAAGGATATCATACCCTTTCTTCGTGCCCAGCTGTCGCTCCTCAGAGCCAGGAGGGGAGGAGATAGCAGTTAGAGACAGTCGGAGGCCATTCTTTTCCAGCTGGTCTTATTTCAGTCCAGACCAGATCAGATTGTGCTCCCCTCAATCTGTGTACAATAAACATAATCAACCTAGAAAAACCTGTAGGTAGAAATACATAGTGAAGAAAACTCGTGACAAAAAATCTGTAGGAAGAAATGAATCAGAGCCACATTTAAATATGATGTTATACTAATTTTATTATTTTAATATTTTAATGTTTATTATTGTTATGTCATATTTATTATTAGACTTTGGGGGATTTGTGGGAAAGTATGGTTTTAAAAAACATTTGCAAAAACAAAAAAATACTAAGGTGCTTTTTAAATATAAACTATTATAGAGTTCTTACCTTAAAAAAATAAATCTCTTTAATATGGCTTAGAATACTAGTTTATTTTATTCTGACAGATGAGCATAGATCATACAGGATAAAATCTTGTAAATGCAAGGTTTGCACAGTTGAATAGAGTGACAGAACCCTGTTTATGTCACAAAGAGAGAAAACTTTGGTATGGGAGTCCTTGCTTTAAACGACCTGGGTTTGAAATGTGGCAGTGCCAATATAGCCATTGTGTGACTTTAGGCATTTTACTTTATTTCTGAACTTCAGTTTCTTCTTTTTTTTTTATTAGTTTTATTTTGGTATCATTAATCTATAATTACATGAAGGACATTATGTTTACTAGGCTCCTCCCTTCACCAAGTCCCCCCCACATACCTGTTCACAGTCACTGTCCATCAACATAGTATGATCCTGTAGAATCACTACTTGCCTTCTCTGTGTTGCACAGCCCTCCCCGTGCCCCCCACACACTGTACATGCTAATCATAATGCCCCTTTTCTTTTTTCCCCGCCCTTATCCCTCCCTTCCCACCCATCCTCCCCAGTCCCTTTCCCTTTGGTAACTGTTAGTCCATTCTTGGGTTCTGTGATTCCGCTGCTATTTTGTTCCTTCAGTTTTCCTTTGTTCTTATACTCCACATATGAGTGAAATCATTTGGTACTTGACTTTCTCCGCCTGGCTTATTTCCCTGAGCATAACACCCTCTAGCTCCACCCATGTTGTTGCGAATGGTAGGATCTGTTTTTTTCTTATGGGTGCATAATATTCCATTGTGTATATGTAGCACATCTTCTTTATCCATTCATCCACTGATGTTCAGTTTCTTCTTTAAAGTGAAAATAATAATGCTTCATAAAGCTATTTTAAGGATTAAATGAATACATTATTGAAGGCATCTACTGGAGAATGTTACACAGAGTAGGAAGTCACTATATTGTTTTTATTGAGTAAGTTCAAAATACCGCATTATGAAACCTTGAAGTCCCAAACTGATGTACGCAGTCAGTTTCGCTGTCTGTGCTGACATGGGGCCCAGCACTGATTCCGTGCACGTCCCCTTCTCACCTTGCAGTTCTGGATGACGAAGACAGCAACGACATCACGGTGGGGTCCCTAGTGACGGTGCTGGTGAGGCTGACGAGGCAGACGATGGCAGTGAGTAATCGTGTACTTTTGTGCTTTAAAAGTTAGGTATTAAAATTTTTATGTTTTCTCATTTTAAGTCATACGTTCTCAGAGTCAAAGCTCTTGTAGCAAAACCTGATTTTCCAAGTTCTGTTACCTGTTTTGAAATGTTAGTTTTCAATTACGTTTTCACACATGCAAAAGCCTTTGGGAAATAGATCGATTCTTCATGTGATGATTTAATTCCCTATGAAACAGTATAATAGGGTAATGTGGGTATACTGCTTAAACTGTAAAGTGCTATACAAAGGTTAATTATTGATTATTGTTAAGAATTTCATCACCTACTCATTTGTAGCAAGTTCTTTACAGGATTCACTTCCTTTATTTTTAATGAAAAAAATTACAATGAAAATAACTTCTTTTTCTAATTATGTGACAATTTCATGTTGTCTGGAAAAGAAACATATAAGAAGGAATTAAAATCACCTAGACTCCTACTACTCTGAGATGATTAGCTACCCTAATGCATGATACCTGTAGAGCTAAGTGATGTTTCTGTCCCCTTCCCTTCTCTTACCTCCCTCGGGAAGCCCCTTGTCCGCCTGGGGGACCACTGTTCAGTCCTGTGTGTGTCTTCTCATGTCTTTCTTCATGCTCTTACTTACTATCTGGACCTTTCAGTATGTATACATATATACTAGTACTTTTTTCATTCTTTTTCACTAAATCTGACTGTATTGTATGTGCTGCCTGCATCTTTTTTTTCTCAGTTTCTGTTGCATATTTATATTACCTCCCAAGTCACAACTGTAGTTTTTAATAGACTGGTATAGGAATGCATTGCTTTTAAATAGACTGAGGTATTCAATTCAGTTGATTCAGCCAGTGCTAGATTTTAGCCTGTTCTTCTCCAGTTTGTGATAATCTGTGGGAAACATGCTGCATTTGAACCCCATGTCTGAAACTTCTGGTAGGAAAGGCATGTTCTGTAGTGGGACGTATCAGATCAGGGATGTTGATGTTGATTTTACAGTGGCGAGTGGTAAGGAAGCGTTTGTGTTACAGACTCTGGGTGGGAGGTGATCCCGGAGGAGGGAACTAAGCCAGCAGCTGAGATTTGGTTTAGAATCCAAATTTACGCTACCCACATGCTTTGGATTCCAAGCCTGAGAAATGAGCAAAAGATTGGCCTTGGGCTGTCGACATTTCTGGGGTGGTTGGTAGGACAAAAAGCAGAACTGCTCTGCTGGAAGGGAAGGAACCGGGTGTTCATCCTGCAGTGCCTACGAGGACTGTACCTCAGAGCGCCGAGCGTGAGGACCCGCTAGTGGCTGCAGAAAGGAAGCAGAGGTGGCAGAATTAGGCTGGGGGTTGGGAAGCTTTTTCCATAGGTCCCATTAGTTGCCAGAGACTGGCAACTATTGAGCTCACTGTGGGCATGGCTGTGTTGCAGTAAAACTTGGTTTAAAAAGTGGGCAGAGGGACATAGTTTGCTGATTCCTGAATTAGACTGACAGTTCAGAGCCTGATAATTACCATTGTTTTTACGTGTCAGCTTTAATAATTCCAGGGAGTTTATTAAACACAACCCCTGTCACTTGTCATTTGCTAGTGTAGATTATTGCTGTAGTCTTACTGGAATTTAAACCCTGTATTTGTTGCTTCTGTTCTGATTCTGAATAAATTATATGGTAAGTGGATATGTCTTTAGGATAGTGGATTTTCTTGGAGTTCCACTTCAGTTACAGGTCCAGTGAGCACTATTGCTGACAATAGTGAATAAACTAATGTTGGTCTAATTGAAGTCTTAATGTTAGAAAATAAAGTAATATATTTAAGTTGCTGTAACATAAAAACAGTCATGTCTGATTACTATTAGAATAATATAGATAATTTAAACTGAGATATTTTTTACTTCATAATGAGTTTAGATATCTTAAATTACTCCATTTGTAAATTTAAGAAGACAATATTTTTCAAAATACATTCAGGGCAGGAGATTGCAGAAGGTAACTTCTGAAAGTATTATCCAGTGATTGCTAAGATCTCCTTTCTACCCTTCCAAACCCCACAGTTGTGATAAGTGAAAAAACTTACTGGTAATATATTTTGAAAGATTTCTTTGTTTATCCGAAAGATAAATAACAGTTGACTGACTCCACGTGTTTCTTCCCGCTTCCTCCAGGAAGTATTTGAAAAGGAGCAGTCCATCTGTGCCGCAGAGGAGCAGCCGGCAGAAGACGTGGTGAGCACGCAGGTTTTCTCATGTCTGTCCCGGCGAAGGAAATGTTCTGTTCGGTCCTCTGACTTCTGCTGCTGTGGGGGAGTAATTCAGTTTAGGAAAACGTTTCGTTAGGCATTGCCATCTAAAAATTACTGGGAACCCCAAATGAAACTTTCTGTGACTTCTGAGTATGCGTGTGTGCCGTGATTTGTAGCAGGGCGACACCAGCAAGCGCAGGACAAGAGGAGAATGGCAGCAGAAGAGTAAAGGACCCAAAAACAGCTAAATCAAAAAAAAAGAAGCCTTTAAAAAAAGAGCCTACACCTGTGCCCTTACCACAGTCAAAGCCACAGAAACAGAAGCAGGCAAATGGAGTCGTTGGGAGCGTAAGTTCGTCACTCTTATCGTCAACATTGTCTCTGTCGAGGTACAGGCTGAAATATTCAAGTCTTAGTGTACAGCTCCCAAAGTCTGTGTGTGTAGGTACCCGTGATACCTACGTCACGGCGTGAGACCTTACCAGCGCCCTGGACACCCGGGCCGTTCTCCGTGGGCAGCCCCTCCGTGCAGCCCGCCCCCCCACCCCCATCCCCACGTCTGTCATCACCACGGACAAGAGGAGTGTTCGCTCTCTTTCGGCACCGTGTCCGTGGCATTCACTGTGTGTGTCAGTGCTCCATTCCCGGGTGTGTGAGGGATCCCACTGTATGTGCATACCACAGTTTACCTGTCTGTTCCTTGGTTGCTGGGCATTTGGGTCATTGGTAGTTTTTGGATATTTGTCTATTATGGATAAGGGCACTCTGCTTATTCTTGTACATGTGGAACTACTGGGTTGTAAGGTAGGTGTATGTTTAACTCATTGAAAGAGCCCATTTTCCAGAGTTGTACCATTTTATGTTCCTACACATCAAACATGAGTCCAGTTGTTCCACATCCTCACCCATACTTGGTTTTCAGTCTCTTTATCTTGGCCACTGTGGCAGCTCTGTAGTGGTCCTCTGTGTGTGGCTCTGCTTGTGTTTACCTGGCAACTGGTGACACCAGGCATCTTTTTACATGCTTACTGGCCACTGGGCATCCTCTTTTCTGTTGGGATGTCGGTCTGCTTATGTATTTGCAAGATTCCTGTATGTATTCTGGGTATGAGTTGGGCTTTACTCCCTGTGCAGTAGCTTTGGGTGGTTTGTGATTTCCAGAAGTTGTATTATTTTACTATTACATTTTGCTCTGTGATGCATTTGAATTAACTTTTGTGACTAGTGTGAGATGGGGATTACGGACCATTTATTTACTTGGGCAACACTTACTGAAAAGACCTCCTTTCCTCTGAACTGCTGTGGTGGTGGTTGCGAAGCAAGCGACGATAGCTGTGTTTGTGCAGAGCTGTTGTGGACTCTCTGGTCTATTCAATTAATTATCTATACTCTTGTGCTAGTACCACACTCTCTTAATATTGTGGCTTTATGTAAAGCCTTGAAACATGGTTATGTAAGTCCTCAAGCTCTTCTTTAACTTCTTCAAAATTAGCCCTTTGCATTTCCAGCTAAATTTTTAGAATAAGCTTGACAATTTCCACCCCCAAAAAAGTTGCCAGGATTTAGATTGGTATTACATTGAATCTAGTTCACTAGGGGAACAATTCATGTTAATAATACTGTCTTTTTATTCATAATCATGGTTTATCTTTATTTATTTGCAGCTTCCTTAATTGTTCCCAGCCGTGGTTTGTAGTTCCCAGGCACATCTTCCATTAGGTCTGCTCCTGTGTAGTTGATGTTTTCTGGTGCTGTAGCAAGTAACAGTTTAAAAAAATCCCATCCTTCAATATATATTGCTGGTTTATAGAAATGTAGTTGCTTTCTAAATACTGACTTTGGATCAAGGAGCCCTTAGGAGTTGACAGTAATTGTAACCATTGCAGATTTTTAAAAAAGGTTTTCTCAGTACATAATCCACCTCGGGGTAAAGACAGTTTTTGCTTTCTTCTTCTTTCTTTATGCTTTTCTCCCTTCCTGTCTTACTTGCTGGTTAGAACTCAAGTGTAACGGGATTAGACGTGAGGGCCTGGCCGCCCTTGTCTTGCTGATCGCGGGGAGAAAGCAGACGTCGCTTCCCTCCTGAGCGGGGTGCCAGCCCCGGAGTAGTTGCAGACAGTCCTTGTCAGGTTAGGGCAGTCAGTGTTCCATCCTGTTCCCAGTTCGCTGAGAATTTTTATCATGAGCAGATACTGAATTTTATTACAGATGCTTTTTCTTCAGCTATTGAGATGATTTTATGATTTTTCTTCTTTCTGTTAACGTGGTAGGTTATATTGATGCATTTGAAAATTTTAAATTATCCTTGTGTTCCTGGAACAAATCTCATTTAGTTATAACGTAGTATCCTTTTTTATATTTATGTGCATTTGATAACATTTTCTTTAGGATTCCTGCATCTATTTTTATGAGAGAATATTGATCTGTCATCCTCCTTCCTTGAAATATCCTTGGCAGGTTTTGTGTCAGGCTTATGCTAGCCGCCTTTAGCACATTAGGAAGTATTCTGCTCTCTTTTTCCTGCAAGAGTTTGTGTAAGACTGGATGTTTCTGATGCAGAAGAATTATGTAGGCTTGGAGTTCTTAAAAAGAGTTTAGTTATAGAATCCATTTCTTTCACATATTCTACTTTTTGTCTTGTATCGAATTTGTCCTTTCCTGTAAGTTACCAAATTTATTGATGAAGTTATTCAAAGTCTCCCTTATTTTCAGTGTCTTCTGGATCTGTAGGTATGTCTCTCTTACTCCTAATGCTGGTAATTTGTATTGTCACTTTTTGCCTTCAGTTAGTCTTGCTGGATAAAATCGATCAGTTCTGCTAATCTTTCCAAGAACCAGCTTTGGGTTTTGTTTGGGTTTCCCGCCGGCATATTTGCTTTCTCTTTATTGATTTCTGGCCTGCGCTCCTCCCCTTCTACTTCCTGTGCGTTCTGTTTGTTCTTTTTCTTGCTTCTTGCAATGGGCTGGGAAGCATGTTGTCTGGGGTGTCGGCTTTCCATTCCCGCGGGATGCTCTGTCAGTGACGGAGGAGAATAGTAAACTCCCAGAGCAGTGCCTTCCTGTAAACGTCCCATTTCTCCTCCTCAGATAAAATAAATTGTGTAATGGATGTTTTTGAGAGATGAGTCACCTTAGACATCTCGGTGTGGTATACTTTGTAAAGGACTGAAATACTTCTATTTACAATAGACAGGTGAGCCAAGTGGCCTTCAGTCTGACCCGCACGTACTTACAGACTGGAGCGCTCTGTAATTCCCTGAGACGGGAGGGGGCTTTGAGCCCGCTGGGGTTACCGGCCCTCGGCCCTCATCGGGGCCCCGCGGCCTGTCCCTGGGGCTCAGGCGGCTGCGGTTCCCTTTCAGGAAGCGGCCGTCAAGGACGACGACGAGGAGGTCTCGGTCAAAGGCAGTGAGTCCGAGGACGAGGAGACCAACCGGGAGTCCCAGAGCGAGAGGGACGACGGCAGCGAGCGGGACTCCGAGAGGGAGCAGGACGGGAAGCAGAGCAGGGACGATGAAGCTGTGAGCCTCCTTCGGGGGGCGGAGGGCCGGGATTGTGCCTCGGGGCAGCTCGCGGTCTGCTGTCGCTTTCAGTCGCTTGCTGGTTTTAGACGATACCAGTACGGTTTAGACTCCTATGTTACTCTCGTAAGAATATTTTTGAGGGTTGGTTAGAATCATAAAGAAAGGTTGTTTCTGACGAGGACTGTGCACCCCACCTTTCTCAGATGTTAAGTTGCTCCGTGTAGCTACGCCTGGGTCTGACGCGAGGCCGGTTTGGTCTCCAGGTAGTGTTCACTGTTGGACGCGAGTAAGGAAAGGTGGGTACAAGGCAGCGGGTACTTGGAGGAGTCGCTCGAAAGGTCCAGGTAATGTTTAGGGTGAAGAAACAGGACTGTGGGCTCTGGACTCTAATGTTAAGAGGTTGGTTAAAGGGAAAGCTAACATTCACAGAATGCTACCTTATTCAAGAGGTAAGACATTAAGGAAAGGGGGAGTCCCCAAGGAATCTAATAAGACTGTGAGGGTATGGAGGGCAGAAAAAGGTCTTGTGGCATGGCATTAGGTTGCACCTCATTTATGGGAGGGCCGCAGAAAAGGATGGTGGACAAATAATGGCTCATGGAGACTTGGTGCAAATGCACTGTTCCCTGTATGTTCGTGGAGGCCTTTCTGACGGGGCTATTGCTGTGAAAGTGACCCTGTGGTTAGGAGAGAAACAGGCTTCCCTGAATAGCCTCTAAGGCGAAAGCAGAGACCACAGAGGAAAGGATAAAGGCAGACGGTTAAAGTGCAAGGAGGTGATGTGCTTGCCCTGGGAAGAGGCGGGAGGGAGCGTAACTGCTTTTAGCTGCTGGTGGCCCTTGACTGCTTAGTCTTTGGGAATTAAGTTTAATTGCCTGGAAATTAAAACCTATCAAAGAAATTATTTCTCCAGCCTTGCTTTGAGAAAGAGTTGATATATTCCTTTCTGAGTATATCAGGGTTAGTAGAGGTCACTCTTAGGGTTTTGACAGACGAGCTTCATCAGATGACAGAAATACATTCATTCAGTTAACAATTACACAAATAACAAATACTATTTCATGATCTGTTGCATTGCCAGCTCTGTTAGGTGACAGGAATGCAAGGCCAGGTGTGGAACAGTCTCTGCCCTTGACTAGTAGGAGGCTGGCAGGGAGGGCCGACTAAGTAAGCACCGCAGCAGGAAGGAGACGTGCCGCCCGGCAGCCCGAGGGAGGGGTGACCGGCTGGGCCCTGAGTAGAGGGAACCTATGGCGTTGGGAGCTCTACTTGAGGCCGCTCCTGGAAGTAACTCGTAGGAATCTGCCAGGGAGGGAAAGGGGACAAAAACCCAAACGAGGTTTGTGGGGAGTTCAGAGAAAAGCAGTGCTTTGAGCGGGGGAGTAATCGGATTTGTGGGACTGACGGGGATAATAGCTGGAAGAAGATGGAAATTCCTCGGGAATGGTCAAAAGCATACCTGATGTCACGTGTTCAATTTTTCCCAGGAGTGGCAGGAACTGCAGCAGAGTATACAGCGCAAGGAGCGGGCGCTGCTGGAGACCAAGTCCAAGATAACGCACCCCGTGTACAGTCTCTGCTTCCCTGAGGTGAGAGGGCTGGCCCGCCGGTGTCCCTGCCCCGCGCCTCCTGGCCTCCTGTCGGGCGCGTCTCCCGCCCTGGGATCCTCTGTGCTGTTCCTCTGGGCTCTGTGCTGTTCCCTGAGCCTCTGGGCTGGCTCAGGTGCTGAAGGTCTTCTCCTCCTGATAGGCCACATTTTGAGGGACGTATTTCCATATGAGTAACATTCAGTGAATGTGTTGTTTAAAGGGAGGATTGTTGACTTCTTAAGTATTCCTGTGGTTTCCTCTGCTTCGGTCCTTTCTGGGCCAGGTCACTGAGGATCCTGCTAGATGATGGCTTCTCATTAGCTCAGGCAGTTTGCTGTGCCTCAGGCAGATGCATATTTTGCTTCAGACTATGTGACTTGTGAATCTCTCCCTTCTGTTAAGTTTTAAACGGGATGAAAAAGTCGTAAGTCTCCCCGTGGTGTTTCCTGAGGGTCCTGTGGACTCGCTGGGGTCCCAGGGGCGCCCTGGTCCACGGCCGTGGCCAAGCCCAAGGCTGTAGGGCCACGGAAAGTTCAGTGGGTGTTGAGCATGGCTGAGCCCCAGGTCAAGATCATTGTGGTGCTGTCCTATCCCTTGTCCTGTTTACTGTGTGGCTGTGGTCTGCTCCACTTTCTGTCTCCTTGATGGCTACGTTTTTTTGTCTTTCAAATGAATTTAGGATTTGCTTGACATTTGGCTCTTGCAAATATGCAAAACTGAGTGTGGCTCGAGGTCATGAACTGGATGCCTCTTAGTTCAGGGAAGCTGTTTCACAGACTGCCTCGCAGCTTTGCCGCAGAACCTTCTGCTTCCTGCTCTTGTCTGGCAGGTGATCTCCTGTATAAATCTGCTTTCTGTTCTAGAATGTCAATTGAGAGCCGCTGGGGGCTGCTGAGGGCAAGTTCCCAAGTGAGGGCTTTCCCAGTAATGAGTGGGCGTCTCTGTAGACTCTTGTTTAGACTTGGGGCGCAGTCGGCTAGGATTCCATCTTAATGCGCACGCCGATCTTCTGGCATGTCCTGAGCGCCACGTAGCCCATCTGTTGGGGCATTTCGCCCACTGCGTGCTAGTCTGCCAACACCAAGTCTCGTGAAATCAAGCAGATAAATTCCACTCATTGATTCGTTTTCAAAGTGCCAGGGATGCTATAAGCTGCGTAATTTGTACCCTTACAACAGACAGTTTCATTTTAGACCATGCTTAGTTAATAAGCAAAACATTCATTCACTCCCTTTGAACATTTTAGCAGTGAAACGCCTTTTTCTAATTTAGTCTGCATCTGCATGGCAAATAGCTCCAAGTAGCATTTATCAGATAAAATTTACTGTTTTCCTAACATCTGCCTTCCCATGTACCTGCCCCTGCCATGCATGTAAGTTATTTAAAGTTTATGTTTATAATAGACTTCCATGTTATTGCAATTCTTACTGTATTTAATATGTTAAGAATGGTTGGGACTCTCACACAACAGAAAACAGTTCTGTCTGGAGTGCAGATAACTCACAGTGAAACAGCTTCTCCACTTTAACCGTGTGCATCAGTCAAGGCACAGGTGCCACGGACGGGCATTCACTGGCTTCTTAACTCGGTCTTCTTGAGTGGATCTCATCTTAGACGGCATGGAGGAGGGAAGGGAAAGGCCTCTCCAGGGGGCAGGCCAAGCAGAAGTGCCTATTCCTGAGCAAAGCCCTGTGCTGCTGGTACCAGCACGTGCTGTGGTCCTGAGATTTCAGCGAAGTGTTAGGACCGCTCACACAGCTCGGTGTCTGCGTCATCCCACTGGTGGGCACAGCCACCGCAGCCCCTCCTTGCCCTCCGCGGGCTGGGCCCTCATGCACGTCACCTGCCTTGTCTCAGTTCATCTCCACAGCGCAGCCTGAGTCAGGCGCTCATCGCTTAACAGGGAAGAGAGGTGAGATTCAGAGAGGTGAAGTGATCCAGGTCTGGCTCTGAAACAGGCGCTGGCCGCTCAGCCTACGCACAGACCTGCCTCCCCCACCCCGCCTTTGTGCGTGGGGCCCCTGGAAGTGCAGCTGGCTCGCCCTTCCCCGCCGCTGTGCCAGCAGTGAGTGGTTGCAGTGGGGATTCTGGCTCGCAGAGCCCAGGCATCTGTGCGCCACATTGAGTCCGTGCTGTTTTTAGGCAGACACACACAGACACACACAGACACACACAGACACACCCCCACAGACATACACAGACACACGGGCAGACACACACAGTCACACACTGACACACACAGACACACACGGACACGGGCAGACACACACAGACACACACGGACACACACAGACACACACTGACACACAGGCAGACACACACAGACACACACAGACACATACTGACACAGACACACACAGACACAGACACACACTGACACACACAGACACACACGGACACACCCCCACAGACACACACAGACACACGGGCAGACACACACAGTCACACACTGACACACACAGACACACACGGACACGGGCAGACACACACAGACACACACGGACACACACAGACACACACTGACACACAGGCAGACACACAGACACACACAGACACATACTGACACAGACACACACAGACACAGACACACACTGACACACACAGACACACACGGACACACCCCCACAGACGCGCACATCCCCTCCCCCCCCACCGTTGCAGTGCTTTGCAATAGGAGGCATTTAAACAAAAGAGCTTGTAGTTGAACTTTGTGTAGAATTATTAGTAAGTATTAATAAACTAAATGTTAATGTCTTACAGTTAAAACAAATAGAAAATACAAGTGATTTGGGCTTAAAAGTGCATTTTACCTACAAAACTGTTTTCAGTAACTTATTTTTCTTCACCTTTTGTGTGATGGAGAATTCAGGGTGGTCTGCTGGTGTTTGGCTGAGTATTTAGAGTATCCTAGAGCTTATTTTATCTTTAGCTCCAAAACACTTTTCTTGAAGCCATTTCAGAAGTCTGTCTTCCCTGACCAGTGCTCAAGCAGGGGCGGTTGCGGCGATGACTGAACAGCCCGCTATGCGCTGTGACTCAGCGATGGCTGCCCAGCACACTGAAGTCCGGTGCTTCCAGACTGCTTGGTCTTGCGATTTTTTATTTTCATTATTTTAGTAGTTTTTTTTGTCTCCTGTCAGTTCTTCCTGCTCTCATTGGCTTTCTGGTGGCACTTTCTTTATCTCTTTTTCTGTTGCCAAGCTTATTAAAAAATCATAGGCAGTGAAAGGTATAAATGGGCCCTTAGAATCTGAGCTGCCTGCGTGGTGCTCACTACAGCACCTGCACACACATCGGGGCCGTGCTCAGGGGTTCAGCTGGTCCTTGCACAAGGATGGCACGCAGATCTGAGATGCTCTCTCACCAGTGATGTGCTTAATGCGCTGATTTCTGATTGGGTTGCCCAAGTCTCTTCCCCTCTACTTCCTGGCTTTTGCTTATTGCTAGGTAAGAACACTAAGATTATTTGCTAGATGATATTATAATAGTTTATACTGTTTTCTTTTTCAGAATATCTTTCATCACTGAAGGTTAATCAGGGTTTAATACAGGGGCCCATCAGTAAGGTTTAAGAGGCCATTTGAAACCCCCAGATTATATGCATGATTCTTTTGGAGAGCAGATCTACAAATGGTTAAGAACAAACTTGCTCATTCAGTAGATATTTATTGAACACCTGTTTTGTTCCAGGCACTGTGTCTGCTGGGGACTTATAGCTGTCTTTTCTCTTTGCAGGAAAAACAAGAATGGTGGTGGCTTTATATTGCAGATAGGAAGGAACAGACATTAATATCTATGCCATACCATGTGTGTACACTAAAAGACACCGAAGAGGTAATTATCCAAACACATTATTTCAGTTTTTACAACTGTACAGCATCTTGCCATCATACTGCTTCATAAAATCTTTTTTAGAAATCAGCTTACCATATTCAGTGTATTTTATTTTATATGTTAAGACGTGATTTATAGCTGTTCTCCCGTGTCTGGTGGGGGAGTTCATTGGAAATGTGTAAAGTGTTGAATGGTTAGAGGTACATGGTCAGTCTTTTTCTCAACTTGCTTTGTGGAGTTTTCACTGTTAGTATCTAAGAACATATATGCCTTTCTTTCTCTTCTTCAGAATTTAATTATATTCTAAAAATTTTTTATCTTTCCCCCACTGGATTAGTGCCAAGATGCATTTTTGGAGCGGAACTCTATAATAAAGTGGCTCTGCCCCCCGTCGATGGCATCACCGGTCTAGTGTGGTGGCCAACACATTCCCCCCCCCGGGAACTCCTTTCTGTGGTCTTGTTTTTCTTCTGGACTTTTCTGTGTTCCTTTTCTAGAAAGCAGGTTCTGTTTGCCTGGACTTGGACAAGAGCAAGTCTTTTGAATTTTAGCACAGTCCTGTGATGTTGGTTTCCAATCCAGAAAGTCCCCCCCACCCCTTTTAACCACATAGTGAATAAATGAAGTAGTTTATTGTTGTTTGACCTTTAAGAGTTAGAGGCGGCTTAAGGGTATTTCTTTGACAGAGTAGTCTTTTTTTTTTTTTAATTTAAATTTTATCTGTTTTTGAAGAGATAATACTTCACCTAGTTACCATTTCAGAACATATACCAGAAAAGCACACATGGACAACAGCTTGCGTCCCTGCCTCTCAGCCACCCACTCCCTTCCCTGGAGACCATCGGTGTCAGCCAGTTCTTGTGTAGTCTTTATGTGACACTGTGTGTAAATTATAAGCAGATGCATCATGTGTATTTTCCCCCCCAAAATAGTGTCCACCATGTTCCTCACTTTACCTGTCCTCTGAATGACAGGACTTGGAATTTGTTTCATGTTAGTACAGAAAATGCTTCCTCATCCTTTTTGCGGCTGCATGACCCTCTTCTATATGGATGCTTGTTTAGCACTCTGATCTACTGGGCTTACAAGTTGTTTATCATCTTCTGCTGCGGTGAATGACCCCATGTCATTTTGCACATGTGCGAGCATATCTATAGGATAAATCATAGAGGTAGAATTAATGAATCAGAGACTGTACATTTGTAATTTCAGTAAATATTGCTAGATATTTATTTCTCCATAGGGAGAATGAATGTTCAAGTTTGCCCATCGCCTTACAGTCTGTGTCATTTTCAATATTGCTAATCAGAAAAATGAGAAATGGCATCTCTTGTTTTTTCCCTCTGATCTTTGAAGTTTCAAAACTACATAAAAATGTTGCACGTATCATGAACGCCCATAGACCCTTGTTCTACACTGGCCATTTAACATTTTGCCATTTATTTTTTCCTATCTTTCTCTATATGTGTCCACACAGAAAACACACACATATGTCCCCCCAAGCCCACTTTACATACTTGCAGACATGAAGTTTCACTCCTGTGTTACTGACACATGAATCCTAAGAACAGGTCTTTCTTCTACATGAGCAGATACAATTACTATACTCAGGAAATGTGACATTGATGTATTATTATCCAATGTGCAGTCCATATTCAAATTTCCTCAAATACTACACTGTTACAGGTTTTTAAAATCGTTTTTATACTTTTTTAAAAATACATTTTGTTTTAAAAACATTTTTATAATGAGGTACATATATCCAGATGTCGTCTTAAAAATTTGTTCTTCCTTTTTCCAAGTGGAATTGAAACTTCTAAGAGTTTCTAACTCTTTACATTTGAAGTTTACGATTTGAGAGGAAATAAAGTACCTTGTTGACCTTGAAGGCATTGGGCATTCATAAAGGAAGAACTCAGTTCTGTGTGCTTCTCTTTCACTGTCATGCTGCTACCACATTCACAGCAGTCCTGATGCCAGCTGCGTGGGTTTCCCCACACCAACCAGTTCTCTGTGACAGCAGCTGAGTGTCCTACATTTTAACTCAGTGCTGACAGTGTCTCCCTGGAGGTAGTGTCAGTTGGCAAGTCACACAAGACATGTGACTGAGAGGTTAAGGGCTCAGTCACACCAGACTGCTGCCCACCACCTTCAGAGCCTGTCGCTAGTCCCGGTTGTCAATTAACTTCTGACCAACTGGCTATAAATTGGGGTTCCCGTGACCCCACCCTTCAGTTTGATAATTTGTTGGAATGGCTCAACGAACTTAGGGAAACATGTTTACTGGCTTATTACAAAAGAAAGTGTTAAGGGGTGCATATGAATATCCAGATGGAAGAGAGGCACAGGGCAGAGTGCTGGGGAGGGGCCCCCGTGGCGGTGCCATGCCCCTTGTGAACACGCCACTCTCCCGGCACCTCTGTGTGTCCGCCAGCTCAGCAGGCCCTTCACTTGGGACACCTTACGGAGCCTTCCTCACCTGGGCGTGGCCGACCGCCCGCTGCCTCAGTCTCCAGCCCCTCTCCAGGGCATGGGGGTGGGCCCAAAGCTCCGGGTTTCCCGTCAGGTCTTCCTGGTGGCCGGCCCTCACCCGGGCGCCCGTCTGGAGTCACCTTATCAGAACAAAACTCATTCCTGTCACCCATGCAGTTCCAAGGGATTTATGAGCTCACTGTCATGACGTGGGTCAAAGGGCAAATATTAGAACCAAAGATGCTCCTGGTTTTCTTATCACTTGAAAAGTTACAGGGGTTTGAGGAGCTCTGGGCCTGGAGGTGGGGCAGAGCCAATATATATATATTTTCAATTATCTCATAGCATTTATTGTAGAAATAAGAAAATTTGTCAAGAATTATCTCCTCTCTGGCAGTCAGTTTTATTAATTCCAACATTACATGTATTTTTATTTTACATCCTATTTCATCTCTTCAAGTTGTCAAGGTGATGGTCAGCACAGAGCTCGGTTGCTTTAAATATGCTCCGGCTGTGGAGCTACGGATCAGCTCCGCCAGTCCCGCCTCCTTTGGCTTCCTTTTGTGCTGCAGATGTCAGATAGGCACGGATGTACTGTTCGGGGTGGTTCTACCTTCCTAGCATTAGTTCGGGCTTCCTGCGTCCTCTGCGTCAACACCGAGCTGTTACACGTTCTGGTCTAGGAACTCGGGTGAGCTGGTGTTCTTTCTGCTCCTCAAAATACAGATTTTCATTGCTGATTTTATCTTCTAGGTAGAGCTGAAGTTTCCTGCACCAGGCAAGCCTGGAAATTATCAGTATACAGTGTTTCTGAGATCAGACTCTTACATGGGCTTGGATCAGATCAAGCCATTGAAGGTAAGAATAGTGACGGCAGTAAATGAGGTTGTCTGTTGTGTAAGCGCTTACTTAATATAGGGACGCATTTCAGGTTCTGAAATGTAGAGTTCTAGAGGGAAAAGAGGTCATCTCCTACTGTGTATATGATACAATTGATGGACTACCCTTATAATAATAAACTACAGTCGTTGAGTTAAAGGAGTGTAAATAGTTTTTAGAACCGTGAAGGGAAATGACTGAAGTGTAACAGGTTTTATGTGCTCTAATTCCACAGGGGTTCACCAAATGTGTTCTCTTTTCTTTAGAAAAGCATGTGTTTTCCCACAGATTCTATTGGAGAAGCTATTAATTGCTGAAATGAACTTATTTTTTATCATTTTAGAGTATACACTTTGTCTGTGAAGCACACTCTCAGTGTTTCACCCTCTCACTTGAAGTTTTATAAAAGCGTTACTGCTACTGTGTTAGAGAGATTGTGAAGTGTCAGTGCACCGTGTCCGAGAGCCCCGAAGGGGAGGGGCGGGACGCGTGGGCCTCTCCTTTCCCGCGGGGGCACCTTGCAGCTTTTCACTGGCGATACACTTTTACTCCGTGAGTCTGGAGGCTATAAATACCTCTTTGTAAATCACCCTTGAGTTTTTCTTGCTTCAGTAGATTTATTAAGACATAGTGTTCTTGCTCGAGAATCACAGTTTATTTTCATGCCACAGAATGAATAGTGTAGCTTCTATAAAATCAAAATATCAGACTGTGTCAGAAATTTAGCTACATGTTCATGCTGTTAGAGTTATGTTTTTTTTTTTCTAGGATGAATGTTCTAAGTGTTAAATGTAGAGTTACAACCATAAAATTGATCTTTTTGTCATTGCTATGGTCAAAGAAAACCTTTTCTTGACCAGGTATTTCTTCTGTTACTCCTTCCCAAAGTTCTGATGTTGACATTCAATTCCTCTTTATAGTTGGAAGTTCATGAAGCTAAGCCTGTGCCAGAAAACCACCCGCAGTGGGACACGGCGCTAGAGGGGGACGAGGACCAGGAGGACAGCGAGGGCTTCGAAGACAGCTTCGAGGAGGAGGAGGAGGAGGAGGAGGGGGACTGAGCGGCGCCGGGGAGGGGCCGCAGGCTTCGCGGACACACTTGCACATGTGTGTTCTTTTGGAAATGCCTAATAAACCAGAAAGAGTGCTGAGCTGATGTTGAGGGAAGTGTCAGTTCCTGAAATGGGTGCATGACCGGACAGTGGCGGTGCCCCGGTGCACTCGGAATGTGCTGGAGGCTTGTTAGGGCCTCTCAAGTCTGGGATGGTGCATTGATTCCGTCTGCAAATTATAATAAACCCTTTGTTATAACTGTCCGGAGGTGTGGGCGATGCATGATCTGGTCACTTTATGGTCCCCGTAAAAGTAAAGGTACCTGAAAAACGGTCTATCATCTGCAAGTTTTCCTTGTTTAGGGTTTGTTTTAGCAAACATTGAAATGTGATGAACACCACCAATACGTTTTAAGTGACATCTGTTCAAGTTTTAATCTCTTGATAAGATCTGTCATTCATTTATTGACATTCTGCAATGATTTGAGACTATAACAGCTCCATTCACAGCTTTAACCCTTTTGTTTTTAGCTGTCTTGGTCATAAGTCAGCTTTCTCTCACATTCCATATACTACAGAGGGCTACATTTGGGGATTTAAGAAATAATTGCCCAGACTTATCAGACAGATTATAAAAATGGCTTTTAATGGCTTAAAACATTTTTAAGCCTCTATTTTAGCAGATCAATGCAGGATCTAATTCTTTTTATAAGCTGTAGGTCTAAAAATGATTGTGGGACCATATGTTCTCTGATGTTGGTGACTTATGTTATTAAACCTTTTTTAAAAGGTTCACTATAAAAGCTGAAATACATTCTTAGCTTTTAATCTACCTGACTATCAAAAGCCTTTTAAGGAAAAAATATATAACACGCAAGGAGGCATTTTTTTGTATTCATTTTGGACTCCTGTCAATAAAATAGAAGTTTGGCTCATTTTGCGTTTCTAATGGTGTGTCTTTTTGCTCCCAGAGAAAGGATACAATAGGGTAATTTGTTTACTTTTCAACTAAGAATTTAATAAAATTGTACCTACCTGCTTAAGTGACTATTTCTGTCTGTATACTATAGAAAAACCCATGAGTGGGAGGAGTTTCCCCCTCAACATTGCAACCCAGAGGAAGGTGCTTATAGGGAGTAGAAAAGTGTACGTGGTGAATGAGGTAAGACAGTATTTTTATTACTAGGTAAGGAAGAAGCGTTAAGTCCAGTGTGAGACCTGATCGTAGTCATCCTCCTCCCAAAACCTCCAGAGGCCAAAGTAGGGTTGGAATACGATTTAAAAGGCTGCCGCTTCCATGCAGAACGACCACTGGTATTTTGTTACAGCAATAGTTGGAAATTGAAAAGTTACCAAAAATGTGGATTTTTTTTTAGTTCTAAATTTAGGATGTAATAGTTCCCTTAATATGGTCAAAGCAGTGTTTCCAGTCGGACCCCCATCACTTGCTTTTCTTCATAAAGGTGTTGGTGAGACCCGTCCTTGCAGGCAAGCGTGCTGCCGGGGTTCACTTTACGGGTGGAGGGCAGGTTTCGCCGGGAGGCTGCGTGGTCGCTGAGGCAGCTCGCGGGCGAGGCGCAGGGACGGGGCGGCCTGCGGCTTCAGCGCGAGGGGGGACAGAGGGAATGTGCAGAGGCTAGGGGCCGGTGGCTGGGGTGTGGGCACGTGGCCTGGGTTTTAGAGAAAGACGTTTCTCAAGACGCATTTCTTTTCTAGCAACAATGTCCTAAAGAGGCTTTTATAAGCTCAAACAACTGGATTGTTTCTGTTTTAACTAGAGAGGGTTTCACAACCAGTAACTCAACCACAGTGCTTAAATAAGCAGCATCGCCTCCACCTAAGAACATCCACCAGTCTGTTTCCCTTTGACTTCGGGTGACTTACACGTACTCCAAAGCAAAGGAGTACACTTCCCCTGTGACTGCCAACCCCCGACTTCCTATTGCAGGACTGAAGGAACTTTTTCCAGCAAGTCTGGGGCTTTGCAGCTGTTCTCCTGATTGAGATTTAACAACAAATTAGTCTTAGTTTGCGCATAATAACCTAGTGGAAACTCTTAGTGGAGTTTCAGTTTTGTTCCCATTAAGACAGAATGACAGTTTGTGAGCAGAATAGGAACACATATAGATGAAAGCATTCCGTGTGTGTGCACAAAGTCAGACTGGCTATTTACGAAAGTTACATTTATGTAATATTTTTCTCTTTAAATCGGTGCAGTACATATTAAAGTGACTCTTCCAAGAAGAGACCATGATTGAAAGGCTAGCAATTGTAAGTTTTAATTATGTTATAAAACAATCACATTTGAGGCCCCATGGTGTTTTCCATGTCCATATCTCAGTCTCAGAGTTAGATGTTCATGTCCTTTTTGTAGAAGTGTTCAAATTTTCATGGTTCTTTTTTGTTGTTTTTAATCCAGGGGCACACTGAGTAAGCTCCGTAGAACACTCCTGTGTCCTCCGGCTCGCACCGAGGGTAGAGAAGGAGCCCGGGCCGCCGTAAGTCCCGCTGTGCGGTGGGAGTTCAGGCCCTGGGGGGAGGCAGAGGGTGGGTACCACAGGAGGGATGTGGGAAAGGCAGGGAAGTGCTGAGGGACCCGTGAGGCCCGCTGAGCAGGGTATTCATGGCCAGGTTGATCCAGTTACTGGCTTCAGCCAATCAAAACCTCATACGGAGTATTCTTCAGCAGCCACTTTTATTTCTGTGTAAGTCAGCACTTTACGCAGTTTTTGAGGAGTTGTTCATCACCTGTCATGTGTTTACCGAGTTACTGTGTGCCTGAGTCTGTGACTGGCACACTGGGGCTACAAGGATCAAAGAACTTTGTGTTCTTGAGGACGCACGGCTGTCCGCTTAGATCCGCTCGTACTGGCTACTCGCCATCGTTCAGAATGACTTTTTTTTAAGTCTTCACTTTTTGTTTTTTTATTTTTTTTTTTTGTTTTTTTTTTTTTTTTTTTTTTTTTTTTTAATTATGTAATTCTTTTTCTTTTTTTTTTTTTTTTTTAATTTTTTTTTTTTCCTCAATTTTCTTGCTGACCTCCAGGAATTCCTTTCTAAGTCTGCCTTAAAGCAAAACAGCTATTAGCCATGACACGACACTTTACCAGCTGTGTGGTGGTCAGTCCGAGTGTGTCTGAAGAAGTGAGTGTCAGGCATCTTCTCACACTTAAACTTGATGCGAGGGCTGTTTGGCAAGACTTAAAAAGAAACAGTGAAGCTGTGATCTTGCACATTTTTCTGTAGCCCGAGTTAAGAATCCAGATAGACCCTCATTGGCATTAGGGTGTGGCCTCTGGTGGGGCCACACACATCCCAGGGGTATGCAGATGACCAGTCTGTTGGGAAAATGTTAAAATGATTATTTGTATCTAATCTTAGCCTTTAAAATTTCTATTTTTGTGTGTTTTATAATATACATAATATATTGTACAATTGTACACTTCTATAATTTATAAATAAATAATACACTTACTGGTGCATTATATATATTTTTCCTGATTTAAGTGCGTGATCAAAACATTTGGGTGTGCTGCTTCGAGGGATTGATAGGGTGACATTTAAGCTGAAATGAGTAAGTTTGGACTTGTGTCCCTCACCCTTCGAGTCCTCGAGCTGCTGTCACTCTGCTGGGGTCAGAGGGTTGGCGTTCACTGTCCGGCTCCCCCGTGGCCCCAGGAACAAAGTGGTGTCTCGAGATGGAACCGAGTAGATTTGGTGATGGGCTTACCAGACGAGGGAGGGAACTAAGCAGCTCCTGTGCTGGTATGGAAGCGGGGCGGCCGGAGCCAAGCGGAGGGGCCGCCTGCTGGGACTTCCAGCAAAGGCTGCAGTTTGCCCAGATGGCCAAGGGCTGGATCAGTGACTGCTGCAAATTCCAGGTGCCTGTGGGGCGGGCTGCCCCCCCCTCCAGGCGGTCCAGCATTAACCTGTCAGGCTGCCGCAAAGGGAGCTGTCTTCCTCACCTTCCTGCTCACCTGAAGTTCACACTTTTAAAGTCTGGATAATGGCAGCAGCCGAGGGGACCAGCCACAAAGATGTGAGCAGATTCTACCGACAGCAATGTCACACTGTCTCCTTGCAGTTTCCTGCCTGGGTCTGGTAGAGGGCGGTAGGGCTGTAACTTACTTGAGCAAAAACCAGTGTAGTCTGTGGGACTAAGAGCCAAAATTAAAGACATGCTTAGTAATTTATTTCTATCTCCACCGTCTAGGATTACCTTCTTCCCCATTAGTCTTTTTTACATGTGTCCTTTTAAAACATTAAATTTACTTCTCAGTTTTTGGGCTGGAAACATTAAGTCCCTTTGCAAAAAAAATCCAGAAGACAATACATTATACATTGTGCTAGAATTGTAGGAGCTTCTTTGCTTGAGAGGGGTGGGAAGTCAGGACAAAATCCTTTTATTCTATCAAATGTTAATGTTGGGGGTGGTTGGTATCCAGAACTGTGAAAGGTCTGAGATTTTTACTCCACGTGCAAGCTAACAACCTGCCACAATGTCACGGACGCCGGTAGAGACTCGAGGTTCCCAGATCAGACGCACTGCAGGCTGTGTGGACTACGTGTTCCGCATCTGTGCCTCTGGGCACCCCCAGGTCCACGGCGGTGACGAGCAGCCCGGCTGATGCTGAACGTGAAGAGTGTGTGTTCTTCTCACAGCTGAAGAATTTTGAGCTCGATCTTTCAAAGGTATGTGAGCAAAGCTGTCCAAGAGGGAAATACCCTCTTGCAAGGCTGTTCCCTATACAAACATAAAAGTCTAGAATGAAAGCTGTGTGCCTCTGCTCCAAGGTGTGCAGAAACGTGACATACCCACAGAAAACCGTCTCTCACAAGCTGGAATTCGAAATACATAGAAACTATTTACAAACAGGTATGGAGTACTTTCAAAGGGAAGGGGTTATATTGAGTGAAAATTAGGACCAGTGAGATCATCTTCCTTGAGAATAAAGTGTATTTAAGCCTCTTGCGGGTGTTTGTCAAGATAGTTTTTTGTTCCACCTGAAGGTAGTTCACTTAACCTGTGTAACAAGTAGCAAACACCCAGATTTTTCTAAGTTGAATCCAACCCAGTGGGACAAGGGGTGTCTGAAAAATGAACGCTGCATCTATTGGGCACTATGTAACCATAAAAGATTTTGACTGTTGCCCTCTGCCGCCCTCCCCTTACCTCAACCCAAACCTGTCCCTCTGTCGATAAAACAAGCCCACACTCTTCTCAATGCACTGAATGTTTGCCTGCAAGTGAGCCTCAGTCCCTGTAGAATGTGGCCACTCCCTTAGTGGGGGCCCCTTCCCCGAGATGCTGCCTGAACCCAGGGAGACTTTGGACCTTCTTTGGTTGACATAACTGAGGACCATCTCACTCACTCTCCTGAACAGTCACACTGGCACCTACCTGATTGTCCTTCGAGGTTTTGTTTTTGACTGAAAAGTCATTTAGAGATGATGCAGATGAAGAGGGAGGGAAATCAAATTTGCTGGTAGATATTTTGATAAAAAATTAGGCATGTGAATACAATTCAATGAGAGACATTTTCACAAATGACAAAAAGTCTAGAGATGGAGAGACCTCTGAAATAAATGGGTTTACTGAGGCTTTGCAGATGCAGCCGGAAAAGGACCGAGTCCTGAGACGGGGAGTTTCTGCTTTCCCAGAGGCAAGGCCAGTTGCAACTTGTCTGCCAGACCCAAGGAAAGTAACATTTATGAGGGGTCTCAAGGACCGAAAGTTCTCTAAATTCACATGGGCTTCAGATAAGGAAGGTGGGCTGACTCACAGTGGGGAAAGTCTGGGGTGAGGGGGTTGGTCTGTAGTGAAGGCTCGCGGAGGGGCTATTGATGGCCGGACACCGGTCACGTGCAGGGGGATGCGCTGGTCCTGGGGACCTTCTAGATGATTGGTGAAATGACTAGATCCAGGAACGCGGACT